GTGGTGATGGTGTGCTGCTGACCTCTACTCGGGACGTTGTAGATCGGTGGGTGGAATACTTTGAAGACCTCCTCAATCCCACCGGCACGTCTTCCAGTGAGGAAGCAGAGCCTGGGGACTTTGGGTTGGGTTCTCCAATCTCTGGGGCTGAAGTCACTGAGGTGATCAAAAAACTCAGTGGCAAGGCTTCGGGGGTGGATAAGATCTGCCCAGAGTTCCTTAGGGCTCTGGATGTTGTGGGGCTGTGTTGGCTGACGCGGCTCTGTGTCGCGTGGACATTGGGGCAGTTCCACTGGACTGGCAGACTGTGGTGGTGGTACCCCTATTTAAAAAGGGGGGACTGCAGGATGTGTTCCAACTGCAGGGGGATCACACTTCCGAGCCTCCCTGGTGAAGTCCATTCAGGGTTTCTGGAGAGGGGAGGAGGGTCAGGTGGATTGTCGACCTCAGATTCAGGAGGAGCAATGTGGTTTTCATCCTGGTCGTGGAACACTGGACCAGCTCTATACCCTTAGGGGGGCCCTGGAGGATGTGTGGGAGTTCACCCAACCAATCTACAAGTGTTTTGTGGATTTGGAGAAGACGTTCGACTGCATCCCGTCAGAGCTTGGTCTTCACTGCCGGCAGAAAGTCGAGCTTGTTTCTGGTGACATTTGGACTCCAAAGCTGCCCTTTATCACCGATTCTGTTCATAAATTTTATGGACAGGATTTCTAGGTGCGGCCAAGGTGTGGAGGTAAGGCCGGATTAACCATGTGGGCAACTGGGCAATTGCCCAGGGCCCACAAACTCTAAAGGGCCCAGGGCAGCAAGGGCACGAGCAAAATACTGTATCTGTGATCTCCCGCTTTATATTAAACTAGGGTGACCGTACGTCCTGTTTTCCCCGGACATGTCCACTTTTCACTCTCTGTCCGGGCGTCCGGACTGGGGGTTCTTGTATTGATGAAAATTTCCGGCTTTTCATCTAGGAGCAGGGATCGATTTATGGGGGAGCTGGATATCCTACACATCCAGGGGAGCCGGAAAAAAAAGTTTTCTACCTACGTATATTACATCATTTATGGACTCTTTCGAGCAGAGAGCACAGAGAGCGGCACAGCGATGATCGTTGGTGCGCAGCGCTCCAGGCTGCTGCGTCCAGCGCACGGTCCATTCTCAAAGTGGCGCAACCAAAAAACTATAATTAGCACACGATCGTTCATGCCCACACATGTTCTCTACTTTCTGTCTTATTTGTGCCTGAAGCGCTCTGCTACTGCGGAGCTCCTCACCTGTGCTGTGGTAACTCCACCTCACTGACGCAGCATCGAAATGCGCACTCCGCTTTGCGGTCAGGAGATCCCTTTGATCTGCTCAGAAGTAAGTGATGAGGTGAAAAAGTAAGAATCCAGGCAGCAGATTTTCTGGAGAGTTTAGAGGAGATGCAGGAAGATGAGAGACAGACAGGACAGGAAAATAGTTAAATAAAAACAAGAAAACAAAGTAAAATGTAGGTAGATTTATCTCCACTACACGTTTTTACCTGTATAAAACAATAAGTTACACACATGTCATAATTACACATCTGATACAATTCAGATCACCTTCAGAACTCAGTCACACACCCAGGGCCGTTTCAAGACATTTTGGGGTCCAAGGCAAAATGACCCCCCTCCCCAGAAGCCTCTGTGTAATCTCTACCCTCTCCAGTAGTATTAGTTATACAGTGTTTATAAAAGTCCCTCAGACATTACTGACATGTTCTAATATTATCAGATGAAAAACTAAATTGTCAGACATGCTGTCTCATCTGCTGCTTTTCTAAACTTGCAAAAAGTAACAAAACCATTTGAAAGCCACTTTTTGTGGATTCTCTGAAAGTTTCCATGGAGTGTGTGACAACTTATTTTTCCATTGATCCTATCGTCTAATCTCACAGCTGAAACAAGCATCCTTAATAATCTGTGCACAGGAAGCGTACCGATGCTGTAGTAAAACAAAAGTTATAATAATTTATTATTAATAAAACCTTGTTGCAGCACTAAAGCAGAAAAATGAGATTTTGCAGTAAATATGCAAAATATTCACATATGAATTGTTTTAGAGCCCTTTTATTGGCAGAATCTGATATTAATTTAGTTCTTACAAAAAATGGGTCCCAACATGGTTTGTGTGGCGTTGCCATAGTGTGATGTCATAGGCACAGATCCCCTGTCCTCTTGTTTGGAAATAGAAACACGATCACCCTATATTCAACAAACTGTCCACCCGGGCTTTTGCGCTGCACAGAGAAGCTTCGCTGCCGATGACTTTGAACGTCAGTTGAGAGTCAGTCTCATGCAGACCGACCAATGAAGAGAGGGCCTCAAGTTAAGACCCTCTCCTCATTGGTCAGTCCACACGAGGTGGGTCAAAGGTTACCCTGGGCGGGTTACGTGTTGTCAGGCATTCAAGTATTGAGTATATTTACTGCATATTATAGTAAAATATTCTGTATATTATGGTGATCCTTGGGTCGTGATGATGGGGCCCTTTAATATTATTGCCCAGGGTACAACAAAGTGTTAATCTGGCCCTGTGTGGAGGGGATCAGACAGTGATCTCCAGCTTTCGCTGGAGTGGTTCACAGCCGAGTGTGAAGCAGCTGGGATGAGAATCCGCTCCTCTAAATCCAAGACCATGGTCTTCAGTCGGAAAAGGGTAGAACGCCTTCTCCAGGTCAGGGATGAGGTCCTGCTCCAAGTGGAGGAGTTTAGGTATCTCGGGGTCTTGTTCACGAGTGAGGGAAACATGTAGCACGAGATTGATAGGCAGAATGGTGCTGCATCTGCAGTGATGCGGTCGTTGTACCGATTTGTTGGGTGATGAAAGAGCTGAGCCAAAAGGCAAAGCTCTCTATTTTTACTTTTTTTACCGTGTCCTGTCTGGCTGTGAAGCAAACAGAATTGATGTCTGAATGCTGGTGACAAGCCTTACAGATTTACTCTCAGGTGGAGCATCAAAGCATCTGCTTTTAATGTCACGCCTGATACTTAAAACTTTATTGTTATTGTTTTTGAATGCTTTGTAATTCCGACCAGACACGGAGACAGAGGTGCTCCACAAAAATAAACAATAATGAACAAGATTCTGCTTCTAGACCTGGAGAAAGAGAAAAAAAATGGGACAAAACATCAATACAACAACATCAAGCTATCACTGCGTCAACTTGATGAAGAAATATATAATCAACATTGTTTAACTGAACAATCACACGATAATAAATCACAGTTTATTAAGTGCCCACCAGACAAGTGTTGAACGTGCCCAAGTCCATACTTATGAGAGCACCATGTGAGCACCTGTGTGTGTTCAAAGCTCTCGATTTACCGGTCGATCTACGTTCCTACCCTCATCTATGGTCATGAGCTTTGGGTAGTGACCAAAAGAACAAAATCATGGATACAAGCGGCCAAAATGAGTTGTCTCCATGTGACAGGGTGAGTGTCACTGTATCCCAATTGATCATGCACCCTGGCTACTTGACAAAGGGGATGTCCCTTTGGTTGACTGGTTGGCGCGCATGACTCTCACCCGGGAGTCTGGGGATCGAATCCCCCCGGGCCCTCATTTCTCCACCTTGCCACATCTGCAGGGTGTCTGGGCTCTCCCTTAGAGATAGGGTGAGAAGCTCGGTCATCCGGGAGGGGCTCGAAGTAGACCCACTGCTCCTCCACATTGAGAGGAGCCAGTTGAGGTGGCTCAGGTATCTGGTCAGGATGGCTCCCTGGTGAGGTTTTCCAGTTATGTCCAACTGGGAGGAGACCAGACCCAGGACATGCTGGAGGGAATATGTCTCTTGGCTGGCCGGGGAACGCCTTGGGATTTTCCTGGAGGAGCTGACCCAAGTAGCTGGGGAGAGGGAAGCCTGGGCCTCCCTGCTTAGGCTGCTGCCCCCATGACCCGATTCCCTAGAAGCAGCTGAAAATGAATGGATGGATAATTAAAACCAGAAACCACCAAAGATTTAGAAGTTTTGACAAAAAGGGCATGTCATAAAATTATAAAATGAATGAATCATGAATCAAGTTACAAAAATATAAAAGAATAGAGAGATCGTTGAAAAGGCACATTAAAAAAAAGAAAAACCAAATGGTTTCAGTAAAAGCAGCTTTAAATAAAAGTGTCTCCAGCTGCTTTTTAACCCTTTAGGTTAGAGAGCACAAGGGCAAAGGCGTGGGAGTGTGCGAGGTGTGATCCTGCTTCCAGATTTCTCTCTGAGCGTGACTTCATCTAGCATCTGAATAAAATCGAGATGTTCTCATTTGAAGATCACATAAAACTGACCCGTTATAAAGATTTTCTTTTCCTCTGGGGAAGGTCAGCTTCAGAGTGAGCGTTTGGTCTGAAATCTAAAATGCTGTCAAAAATGAAAGGCATGAGCAAGAAGAACACAAGGTCCTTAAGGACATTTAACATTTTGTATGTCATTTAAAGATAAAAAACGAGAAAAAGATTGAGCGCAAACGTGTAGAGAATGGTTTCTGATGGACAAACGTAACAATGCACTGCGCTGATGGATGACTTTAGGTATGCATTATGTCTATCCAAGTCAACCCACAGCAGCAAGCTGCCCTGAATTGGTGCCTTCTATGTATTTAAAGTCTAAACCAAATTCTTTCTATTGTTTACACAAAGCCACAAAACACATGTTTACTTGGATTGTGACGCCTGGTCTGGTGAGCTCACTCATTATTCTGTAAGAATCTTAAACACTTTAATTCCAGTCCATCTGTGGGTGTTTCAGGACTCAGCTTTAATTGTTGAAGGAATCCTTTGTAGTGATGCACGAACACAGGCTGGCTGATGGATTGATGGTGTGTAGCCCCCACAAATAAGAGTGGTACAAAAACATGCCCAGCTCTCATGTTGGCCAGTCTCGCCCTGTTGCTCTCACCAGAATCAACTCCATCAGAAGATACGGTAGGTCTGAACGGAGGGGGACTCTGTAGCTCTTCAGATTGTGCATGAGAACTTATTCAGATTTAGAGTACAACTCTTACCGTAGAGGATGCTTCTTTGGCTGAGGAGGTAGTGAGGCTGGTTTCAGACTAAATAGTACGACTTTATAATAATTTATGGAGTTAATTACAAACAGAACAGAAAGCAGGGTGAGCAGCGCAGCGAGATGGTGACGAGATCTTAAAGCAAAACATGAAAGGTTGAACTTTCCTTGATTACAGGATAGGATGGCGGCTGTAGGAGCCATTTGGGCCATCGTCGTGGTAACTGTTGTCACATCCAAACCTGTGAGTAGTTTTACTTCTGTTTTCTACTAATGCAGATAGAGTTGTGACATTGTTTTATTTATTTTTTGAACAGGTAAGTCTGAATGTAGGTGAAGATTCTTCTAAGTCTTTAGAGTCTAGTGAGTCCACTTCATCGGAGGAAACCTTCGGGCCCTCACAGGCTACGTTTACAGAGAGTGACGTACAAATGGACCCATCGCTCCTTCCCCCTGCAGACTCAGGGCTTTTCTCCGTTTTGCCAGACCTGGAGGACCCCCAGACCTCCACCGACACTGGTGCTTCACCCATCGAGCCAAAGAGCCCGTGTCAAAATGCTCCCGGTGAAGACGATTCCCAGCTGGTCTGCAACTCTGAAGCATTTGTGGATGCTGGTGAAATCACTGGTTCAACCACTCCCAACATCCTCGGCCCCTTCCAGGAGACCCCACAGGATACTGCACCCCCTCCCCTGCAGCTGGTCACACCAGCACCCCCCTCACTCTCCACAGACTCACCACTAGTGACCCCCAGTGACCCGACTCCGACTGGAGCTCCGCTTTGTTTAACGATCCAGCTCACAACTCCTGAGCCAGCTCCACCGAGAGGAGACAGCATGTGAGCCCGGCCCAGCAGCAGAACTAATGCTAATGAACACAGCTGTGATGTCAACAGGAGACGACCTGCCTGGAAAATAATTAGTTCTTCATTTTCTCTACTGGGTTGAATAGGGTAGAAAAATCTGCATTCTTGTAATTAAAAAAAAAAAAAGCTAAAGGTTACACCAAAACCAAGTGGCTTTCAGAATGAATGAATGAAAAGTGGTACGTTCACCCGAATGCTTCCGTTACACGTGTTGGCAGCTGGGAAGGCTGACTGATCCTGGACTTCAGGGACAGAACCACACTCAGGAAGATGAGCGGTCCTAATAATCCACTACCTGATCTGATTTTAGACTGGAGTATTTAACCAAACCTCACACATGTATGACTGAGTTTTCCCCATTATAAAAGCTATTAACGTTATATTTTTGCTTTACAACAATCAAAGGAGGATTTGTTTGGCTGCAAGCTCAAGTGAACTTTTTCCCATCATTTTAACAGAAATGAAACTATTGAAGACAAAAACGCAGCTTTGACGTGAAATTAGTTTGCTTTTTAACTGTTCACACAAGTAGAATCAATCATGAGAACACACACACACACACACACACACACACACACACACACACACACACACACACACACACACACACACACACACACACACACACACACACACACACACACACACACACACACACACACACAGGAGCAGGCGAACCGTGGCTGCAGGCTGTACGATTTTGAGTTATGTAATGAAGAGAAATAAAAATAAAGACGGTTCTGTTCATCTGTCTGATGATCAAAGTCTCCTGTGAAGTTGTGCTCGGCTGTTCTTTACACTCTTAAGTTAATAAGATTAAAGACATCAATGTCAGAAGTTTTCCATCCAACGGAGTAAAGCCGACTGGTTTTGACCCTGCTGCTCGAGTCGGTTTTCTATGCAGCGCTACAGCTGCGGCTGCTGGATGAGTCCGCCGTCCTGCGCCGTGTTGTAGGAGCCACAGCCGCTGCACTTCATCCCCAGAACGTGAAAAGGCACCGTGCAGTGAGTCTGACAGTCATTACATAGAATCTGTAGTACGAGAAGAAATACACAAAGTAAACACAACAGAAATGATAATAAAGTATGTTCTGCTTTGGGTTTTACTTTGGCCGTAGCTCCCTGGTATTCAGGAGGCATTGGTGACTCAGCTATCTCTTTGTCCATTTCAACCCACTGATCCTTCATGTTCCAGGCAGAATGCATACACAGAGGGCAGCGATACATTCTGAAATAAATACAGGAAACCAGAAGGGAGCATCACTCAGGGCTCCTAACTACTGAAGACTACCGTAGCACCACTATGGTATTCTCGAGGGTTTGATAGGAAACAACTCGACTTTTCGCCGCTCACCCAGGAAGCTCTTCAGTTCTAAAACTTGAGTTGGGAGGAGGGGCTTATAATTTGTGGTCAGAAACAAACATGCTGATAGGGCAATAGAGGTCACTAATGAGGACATCAAGGTTATATGAGGTTCTGGCACCTCCTAGCAAAATAATTTGCTCCGCAGGTCGGTAGACACGCTCATGTATAGCCTCCATAGGTCTACCATTGGACACAACAGGTTTAGGTCTGGCCCACCACAGAGCTCTATGTTAATAGAGAAGCTGGGAGGGATTAGCACCAAAGCTGTGACGGCGAAGACTTACAACGACGCAGTTAGCTCAGGAACGGTGCTAGTTTGAAACAGCTTTGGCATCCACTTTGGAAGATTTAGACTCGGGCTTCTCTTTGAGACATGAGCTGATCATTTATTTTAAAAAGGATGCATTTGCTGCTGCTTCTTCTCTGAAAGTGTATGGTGGACTTTCCCGATGACGGACTTCTGTAGCTCTGACTACATCTCATTGATTGTTGCTCTGATCGGTCCAAGCCCTGTCCAATAGCAGGTGGAGACAGTTTGTGAGACAACCATAGATTCGACTCCACAACAGAGATCTGTCAATGGGTCATGACCAGACTAAATATCTACACATATATGGTGGCTTCCTATGCTAGACGGTCCTAGCAGGTCCCCAACAGAGCCAGGATGTGCACCGTTTTATGGGCTCGATACACGGGAGGCGACATGCCCTCTACTCAATTCATTTCCAATGAGACATGCGCGACAAAGCGATAATCGCGGGTCTCCTTCCTACTAAACGAAACGCGAAAAACGTGCGTGTGAAATTTTGCGCTCGTGCACGTGTCGTGCACAGGCAACCCAGCAACGCGATCCCAGAAAGTTGAAATGTTTTCAACTTTTCATCGCTGTTGCTCGGACGAGGACCAATCAATGGAGGTTTCATTCACTGACCAATGAGCGAACAGGATGCTCCGTACACCTCCGAGCAAACATGGAGGAGAAGTTGATACTTGCTGTGACGGATTTCCCAGAACTGTACAATATTTCTACCAAAGAATATAACATATTGTATGTATGTTTCTTTCTCTGGTTTGTAATATGGGATGAACACATTCTGTATTATTATTTTTTTAATAGTAAAATCAGAAGTAAGATTTCACATAACTCTAGCAGCACCTTGTGAAACATCATATCTACCACTTTTTTAACTCTGAACCGCTTAAATAACCTTAATTCCCTCCAATCTGACACAGCCAATCAAAACAACGGAAGATTCGATTTCGCCATGGAACAGAATGCGTCGACGGCTTTGCCGCCGGCGCGGGTCGCCTCCCGTGTGTCGGGTGATAAAAGCGACAGAGACGAATTTCGCTGATCGCGGTCATTAGTCGCCTTCCATGTATCGAGCCCCTTAGTCACGTCTCTGACCACGTCTAAGCCGCCTACTCCCAACCCAAGTTTAACAACTGAAGACATTCTTCGATGAGAGGCGACACGTCTTCAAAGTATCAAGAAGTTGTTTTTAATATGCTCTGGATGACACCAACATCATTTACTCTGACATCAGATAAATAGCAGCTTTTAAAGAGAAAATCGGATTACAAAAACTAGATCACAGGCTTATTTAAAAGCTCCTAAACCTGATAAGTAAATAAAGCAACAGCAGCAAAGTTAATTAAAGCAATAGGAACACGTATCTGCCGACCCAATTTCATTTCGGTATAAAGGTTGATCAAACGTACCCCGTTGTGATCATGGAATCAAAGCAGGACCTGTGGATAAACACAAATATCTCCATGTTAGAACAGATCCAGAACCACTAGGGATGTGTATTGGTGAAAATCTGGCGATACAATACACATCACGATACGAGGAGACGATACGATATATCACAATATATTGCGATACATTCAGCCAGACGATATTAGCGATTTTTTAGACTGAAGTTATTGTAGGAAAATCTAATAAACAATCCAAACTGATACTTAACATGTTTAACATGGGGTATCTGAACCATAATAGAGGGATTTACATTTTGTTGATGGAAATAGAACCAATTGCACATTGCTGCCTACTAGTGGTCGGTGTTTGTATTGCACCAATAAATACCGTAAATCCTCAAATACAGGCCCGGGCCTGTATTTGACTCAAGCTCATCAAGCTCATCAAGCTCCAGGCCTTTATTGGAAGAAGGACCAGAATTAGAGGCAGGCCTCTATTTCTATTTGAGCAAAATGAACTAATGGTTCGCTGGAGTTTTTGACAATTAAAATTGCGCCCACATTTTCAAAGTTAAACACATTTCTTTTAACAACGGTAGTTTCTGCTTCAGTCCTCTCCCCCCTCCCCCTGCGCAGTGGCCGCAAACTCACTGATGCGCCTGCAGCCTCTCAGAGTTCCTGCTGCTCTTAACATTAAAATAATTATTTCATTTTCTGTTCCTCACTTCTGATTACCTTCAATGGTGTCTGTTTGTTGCAACCACCAGGTACAAAACCGAACTTGTTTGTATTTGACTATTTTTCTGTCCTGTATCTGTTATCCTCCTGCATCTCCTCTCAATCCTAAAGAAAAACTGCTACCTGCCTTCATATATATTCACCTTATGAGTTACCTTTGAGCTGCAGTTCTAAAAGATCTACCGACCGCAAAAACAACGGAGTGCTCGCTGCTTGCCGGCCTCATCAGTGATCAGTGCGTCACCGGATGACAAGTTGATGCGCCCCGCTCCACAGCAGCGAAACGCATCAGGCGCAAATAAAAGACAGAAAACATTAAAGGAAATGAACCGACATGAACGATCGCGTGTCAGTACCGACGCTCTGGCAGAGCGCGTTGCCCCCCCGAGCGCAGGAGCTTGTCACCTGCTGACAGCAGTCTTCTTTTCTGAGGGCTGCAGCTTGCCGGTCATTATCACGTGACAGCGACTAGTCGTTGACAGGCATAAAAAGTCACTATAGTGAAGTCAACTAGTTCATACAACCCCTGCTGCTCCCCAGTGTTCTGCAGCGCACTCTTTGAACTTGATATCAAATTTTCGCCTCCTATTCGTCTCCGCACGGTTAAAGTTACCCTCGCGGTCTATCACTGGCAAATCAAAAGTGAGATGATGACACAACCGCCCCCGTACTTGCTTGTTACCACATTCCACCCGGCCACAATAAGAGACCGGCCATTATTCACCTCCGCCGACTCCGACCAAAATTGGAGACCCAGCCTTTAATTGAATACCGGCCTGTATTAGAGGATTTACGGTAAATAAATAAATAAATCACAAATGTTTATATATAAATTCTTCCAAAAATTAGATGCAGTTTTGAATATCGATATATCGCGGGAAAAATATCATGATATATTGCCATATCGATATCTTCTTACATCCTTAAGAACCACAGTATAAACAGATCTCCGTGCATCAGTTCCTTCTGTTGAACGCACAAACTGTCCGAGTTATTTGTTAGTTATTTGTCCAATTTTGACTACAACCCTGAACAAACAGTAGATAGAAAAATAAGTTATACTTGTGTAAAAGATGGCCGCATGAAAGCACGTGAGCACCAATCCTGGATGTGTGAATGTCCTGTTTAAAAAGACAGAAGAAACAAAGAAATCCCATCAAACTGTCACCAAACTGACTGGATTACAACCCATCACTTCTCTCCTCTAGCGCATGTCTGCAGGTGTTTTTACCTCCATGCACACCGGGCAGTCCTGCCTCGACACGTTCTCGACACACTGAAACAAAGACAAAACAGAAAATAAAACAGGTGTGGGTCTTTTAGTGAGAGGAAGACAGGAACAGCTGTGGAGCTCTGGTCACCTTGTGGTTTCCTCGTAGGTCCTGGGCTAAACACAAGTTACACTTCTCACAATGAAAGTACTTCTCTCTGGGCCCAATCCTGTGGAGGTCCAAACACACAATAACCCGATTAGTGATGGCAGCTCATTTATGACATAAAGTGAGGTAAATAAAGCCCTCTAGCTTTGTGGACACGACTTTTTCTCTGGAACTCTTGCTCTTGTTTTCAACATAAGATCTGGGGCAGGTTTGAGTTTTCCTTTCATTTTGAGTCTTCTAGCACAAAGTCTTCAAATGTAGATGTTGGGAGAGCTCTATTAGAAGAAAGATTGTAAATACAGAAATAAGGAACTGTGCAAAAGTTTAAGGTAGGTGTGAAAAAATACTGTAAACAGAGAAAGCTTTTTAAAATGGAAGTGTTAATCATTTATTTTTCACTAATCAACAAAAAACAGTGAATGAACAAAAGAGAAATCTAAATCAAATCCGTATCAGATCTTCTAGCTACACTTGACCACAGCTGTTGAAGGAACTGGGCTGGTAGGTTGTTCCAAACATCTTGGAGAACCAACCACAGATCTCCTGTGGATGTAGGTGTCCTCACGTCCTTCTGTCTTCATGTGATGCCAGACCCTCCGTGATGAGATCAGAGCTCTGTGGGGGCCACACCATCCCTTCCAGGACCTTGAAACTAGTTCTGAATGACTTTTGTTGGATGCTTGGGGTCACTCACTTTGCATTTTGTACACTGGTAAAAATAAACAATCATTGTTTACATTTCTAAAAACATTCTTTGTTTACAGCATTTTTTCCACACCTGCCTAAAACTTTTGCACAGCATTGTATAATTAGCATCAAACCACAAAAGTAACTGCCTGTGTGAATTCTTGGACAAAAAAATGAACCCATGATGTCCATCAGCATCACTTTGTATACGTATATTTAGATGTTCCAGCAGCTTGTTGCCAGATAATGCTCAGGGTCCGTCCCATATTGATAAAATGTCAGATAAATAGTGGTCCAGTGAGAGAAAACTAAAGCAGAATACTGCACCAACAACCTACTTGTGTTAGTGTGTCTGCTGTGGAAAGTCCATGCACGTTTTGCAGATATCCGAGGTAAAACTTCCAAAACTATCCTTTCCTTTTGTCAACTCAAATATAAACATCACAGAGGGTCACATCATCCAAAAGGAGCCACGGGCCACAGCACCCTGCTCTTCTGCAGTTCTCACTCAAACAGTGGAAGACAGAAAATGCAGATGAACAATGAAAACTACCTTTTTTCCTCCTACAGCATAAAAATGCCAATAATCCCATCAAATATAGAAATGTATTCTGGCTAGATTTGAAGGTTAATAGGTGCAAATAGTGTTTTGTTAAATAGCCTCATTTCTTCCATGCGATATTTCAGTTTTTCTTTTTTGAATAAATCTGCAGAAATGTCTAAACTTCTGTTGTTCTGTCAATAAAGGGTGCTGTGTGTACATACATGAGGGGAAAATGAATTTAAATAATTTTAGCAAAAAGGTTGCCATACAAATACAAAGAGTGAAAAAATGATGGGGTCTGAATACTTCAGTGCCCACTGTATGTGTGCTATTCAGCTGACCTCTGACCAAACTCTGTGATGAATGTTCTCAGCGTTCTACCCGGATTCAGGCCGTGTTGCTTTTTCAACACCAACCAAAGTTCAGCCCAGCTCTCGTGGGGTGGTACTTTTCATTCAGATAAATTGATTATAAAACATCTTTGTACAAATAGGTCAAATCCTAACAAATTAAAAAAGAGTGATCCAATCCAAGATTCAAGCTAAAATGGGTTCTTGAACTCAGTGTTCTTTGCTGCATAACAACAGCGAAATTCTTTACCAAATAAAAACAGATCTTCCTCTGAGGAAATGGACATGTATGAAGTAAACCAAGAAAAAACAAGATGGTCAGAAAGCCCGACAACTATTGTTCAAGACCACGTTAAAGGATGACGTCTGGCTCTAGACCTCTGCACTACGCCGAGGGTTAGTGATATTGGGACTACATCCTTACAACTCCATGGTCTCTCACCTGCATATTCCACAGGGCTGACAGTGGTACTGCTTCTTGTCCTTGTCAAACAGGTGACAAATGTCGCAGTAATACTCCCCAAACTGCATGTGACACTGCTGACAAGTCTGCTGCGCCTAGAGGAAAACAGCTCGTTTTTATTTCCACTCTTCTGATTAAATCATCGCAGAGATCACAGGGGAATGTGGGAATGACCACATTTAAGATGAGGCACACAGTAGCTCCAGGTGTTTACCTGCTGTAAGGTTTGACACTCGGAGCACTGCACCTCTCGGACTTTGAATCGGTCCATTTGGTGGTTCTCCTCTGCATCGTGGCACAGCCGACACACGTACAGTTTACCGCAGCAAGGTGCCTGCAGGTGTAGGGACAGGTTTAGTTCATCAGTCTGAGGCCAGCCTCAGCTCAGCTGTAAACGGGTTTGGTAAAACTCACGTAAACTTTCAGCTATATGGCACCATGTGTATATAATAATTAGCTAAATCTAAACGATAGTTTCTGATTTGATGGCAGATAACCCAAAAACTAAAAAAAAAAAAAAACCAACAACAACACTAAAACACTTTTCTCTTTTTAATGAAGGTAAGAGGAACGCGCACGGATCAGTCATTCATAACGTTACGTAACAATTTTCATATAAAACAACATTTCCATAAGCGACAAGCCACCTCTGCGTCGCCGCTAGCTTTGCTAACGACAGCACCAACAATTACAGTCCAAACACTCACATTTCCCTCAATACAAGCGATTTACTTCACACACTTTACCCACTTTCAAAAAACAGCTGCGGACATAATGCGAGCACCCAGATGGAGACGCCATGTTGCTTACGCTGAGGTCTTCTTCTTCTTCGCGTGTTTTCTGCCACCATAGTAGGTGTTTGGCAAGCCGTTTTGAAATTTATTCAATGTTAATCGTTTCCCTTCTGTTCTATTATATGATGTGCGTGGCAGAATTGAAATATGGCAGCAGGAATGGATGTAAATTGCAAATTGAAAAAGTTCAGTTCATTCTAATGTGCATGAAAATTTCAGATAGGTCATATCTTTCATCTTCAAAATAGCATGTTCCTCAGCAGCACAACAGAACAATTACATTCTTTCTGGTTAGTGAACACTTTCAAAGTCTGATGTAAAAATCGTACTAGGAGAAACTTAAATGTCACATGTATGTAATTCTGTATTAATATATCTAATTTTTTATATCTGATATTTAATGATAATTGATTTTGTTTTGTTCATGTTTATACCTCTTGATTGATTTTGTTGAAATTAGGATGATGCATGTAATAACTGTATTGTTTACATGTTTATTTACTTTTGATATTTGTGACACTGTTTACATTTTGTAATGAATTAATGGGTTTTGTAATGAATTAATGGGTAGGCTTAAATAAGTTTAACTTCAGCCTATGCCTTTTCATTCATAAATTATATCTAAAGAAACTGTTTAATTTACAAGTGGAATTTATACTTGTGAAAATTATTATTATGATCTTTATTAGATAATTATTTTCCTTTTCATGTGTTTTATATGTATTGTTGTGACGGAAAAATAAATACAAATACAAATAGATACAAATAATCTAATTCTGGCAATCCAAAATGACAAAAAACACGTTATAACCATAGACTATAACAATGGATGGAACATATAACATGGGCAAGGATCTGTAATATCTCCTTCTAAATGCTAAATTGATTCCTAGTGGGCGGTTCCCACCAATTACCATCTTAACCGCATCGGCATCTGGTCATTTTCATTTAAAAAAGGGCAAAAAAGGTGAAGCTGATAGTTGAGCTGTGAGGGTGGGGGCTGATGATTGACACCCAGACTCTGAGCCAATGTAGCTAAAAGCTAACTAAAGCTAACGGAGGCCAGAAAATCATGGTTTAGCTACTTTGATATCCTCTATGACATGCTAAGTGTAAATAGCTGGTACAAATTATTTAGCAGACATTTTTTTATGTTTAGCAAATTTTTCCCTACATTTAACAACTTTCGTCACATTTAAAATAATGTTTAAATAACAGATAATTTCAGTTTATCTAACTCTTAAATCTAAACTTAAATGCTGAATCTAACTCTAAATGCTAAGTCAAGTCAAGTCAAGTATTCTTTTTTTCCACACTCGGTCCAATTTGCAGAAGTTGAAAAAAACAAAAAAACATTGTACAGATGAGATAAAATGAAATGAGCACAAAATGACATGCTAAAGCACAAAAGACAAATAATCCTGAAAACATAAACAAGAGCCACTAATAACAGTGGTGTGAAAATAAAGTGTAAGTCATAGTAACTCCCTAATCTAAAAGAGTAAAGACTGTTACACCAGTGTTTCCACATTCTTGACTGATAGTGTATTGCACTGACAAAGGTTGGATTTAAAACATCACATTTTTAGAATTATTCAGCCTACAGATACATTTCTAAATAAATAATTTCTAAATACATTTTCTTAAGACAGCTTGCTCACCCTCTAATTTACAAAAGTCTCACTTGCACTAGTCCATCATCTAGGCTTCCTCAGTGTCAAACGCAGAGCAGCATCCAACTTGCAGCCTAGAATACTGCATTTCTTATAGTTAAATCCATAGGTGGACCGTGTACAGGTGTGAACAATAAGCCTTAAATAAGGTTATCTTTACTTTATCAGAACAGGACCAAAACTCATGAGCGAGTGTTTTTCCCTGAGCATATGACATACAGCACTGCCTATACACATCATCATCATCGTCTCTCACGGCCTATGTGATGATATGACCAAGATGTTTTACTGTCTTGGTGACACTAATCACCGAGTTTGACAAAAGAAAATCTTGAAACTTTATTTACTTGTCCTCATTGGCCCGGCCAATCATAACCACACTTTTAGCTGCATTATAAACAATGTTGTGTTCTACCTGCCCTACTTTACCCCTGCATTACAGTTCCCTTATTCGTGTCCCAGTGTTCCTCTCTGAACTTCATGCTTATTTAGAGCAGCTGATTGTTAAAGTTAGTAGAGTTCATCCTTGGTAAGGGGTTCACTCTCTCATCAATGAAATCAGTTTGTTCATTCCAATCTTCCTAAATAATCCTCCAATCATCCAACTGGAATCCCACAACATCCATCCTGTCAGAATAGGCCTTGGGCACCCAGGTGGTAATAGGACTAACTGTGTCTCTTCACCACACAACATGAGTCTCCAAACTGTGAAGGCTGGCGTCCAAATATGAACTTTAAATGTTTATTCATGCATTTATCTCCTCTTGTAACACACTTTTAACATTATTTAACAGCTTGTATCATGATATGTTACACCTCCCAGACCAAAGATAGGCACAATATATGATCAAATAGTATCACAGACACTATTGAGACGTCCTTATTAACCCTCTCAGGCTCAAAAATAAGTTTTGATAAAAGGACGAACAACTACGTCCTTCAGGAGTACTTCAGAGTTAAAACATGCTCATGAAATACGTATGTGGAGTAACCAGGTGGGTAGGTTTTAACGTTGCAAATCTACAACATGTGCCTCCAGAGGGTTAATGCAATATAAGTTATTTTTGTTAGCTTTTAACCAAGAAAACACACACACACACACACACACACACGCACGCACGCACGCACGCACACACACACACACACACACACTGCAGCATTTTAGAATAATTTGCATTATTAATTTAACATTGAACCCCCCTGGGCTGCCACCTTACCGTGGTGGAGGGGTTTGAGTGTCCCAGTGGTGCTAGGAGCTTTCTGAAGCTTCACTCAGGTAAACATGGCCTAGATGAGGGATTAGACAAAATGCAGCCCAAAGACCCCTTATGAAGATGATCTCAAATGGAAAAGGTGTTCCCTCGCACTCTGGAGCCAGGCCTGGAGGTGGGGCACGTCAGCAAGCGTTTGGTGGCTGGGCTTTCACCCATAGAGCCTGGCCGGGTACAGCCAGATGAGGAAGCGTGGGACTTTAATGCTCATGTGGCAATGACAGTGGGACCTGAAGAGGTGTGGTTGGTAGGAACAGCCCCTCGATCTGAATTTGAGTGGTGTTTTGTTATTGGACTTTTGTGCTTGTCATGGATTGTTCATAATAAACACCAGTCCATATCAGACATAAAGGTGTTCATATGTGCTCTTGGCACTAGGATACCTTAGCCTGCAGCTCAGTGATTGCCTTTGTCATTGTTTCATCTAATCTGTACACGCATGTCTTGGACACTCGGGTGAAGAGAGGGGCAGAGCTGTCAACCGACCACTACCTGGTAGTCAGTGGAGGAGGATGCCGGTCAGATCTGGCAGGCCCAAACGCATCGTGAGTGTCTGCTGGGAGAATCTGCCCAGTGGGAGTCAGCCCCCCACTACCTCCTGTTCTTAAACCATACACTGGCTTCCAGTAAACTACAGCTTATTAATCACCCAGCAGGGCTCTGAGATCCTTAGGAAACAGTCAGCTGGTACAACTTCAAATCAAACAGGGTGAAGCTGCTTTTAGCTACTACGCTGCTCACGGAATCATCTTCCTTGTGACGTCAAATTTGCCTCAATTCTAGTAACTTTTAAATCAAAATTGAAAACCTTCATGTATTCATAAGCCTTTGAATGACTGTTCAGAACTGTAACTACTCAACCTTTGATTTTGTCCTTTTCTTTTAATTTTTAAATCAAAATTATATTTTTGTGTACTTTTTGCCATGTTGATTTTTAACGTTCTTGCTATTCTTGCTAATTGAAAAGCAGATTGAGTTGCCTTTGTGTTTGAAATGTGCCATATAAATAAAGCTGCCTTGCCTTGCCTTTATAGTGGGGAAGGTGTGCTGCTGACCTCGACTCGAGACGGTGTGCATCAGTGGCGTGATACTTCAAAGACTTTCAATCTCACGTCTTGCAGTGATGAAACAGAGTCAGGGGACTTTGGGTTGGGATCTCCAATCTTGAGAGGTCATTGAGGTGGTCAAAAAGCTCCTCGGTGGCACGGCTCTGGGGGTGGATGAAATCCGCCCAGAGTTCCTTAAGGCTCTGGATGTTGTAGGGTTATATTGGTTGATGCGGCTCTGCAATATAGCGTGGACATCGCGGCAGTTCCACTGGATTGGCAGATCGGGGTGGTGGTATCCCTATTTAAAAAGGGGGACCCGCAGGATGTGTTCCAACTACAGGGGGGTCACACTCCTGAGCTTCCCATCTATTCAGGGATTCTGGAGAGGAGGGTCCGACAGACTGTCGAACCTCTGATTCAGGAGAAGCAATGTGTTTTTGTCCTGGCCGTGGAACACTGGACTAGCTCTATACCCTTAGTGGGGTCCTGGAGAGTGTGTCGGAGTTTTAACATCCAATCTATATGTGTTTTGTGGATTTGGAGAAGGCGTTGGACTGCGTCCATCTGGTGCCCTTTGGGGGGGTCCTTCAGGGGTATGGGGTACCAGAAACTCTGATACAGGCTGTTAGGTCCCTAAATGATCAGTGCCAGAGCTTGGTCCCCATTGCTGGCAGTAAGTCGAGAGTTGGACTCCGCCAAGGCTGCCCTATACTGATTCTGTTCATAACTTTTATTGATAGAATTTCAAGGTGCAGCCAAGGTGTTGAGGGGATCCGTTTTGGTGGCCTAAGGATTGAGTCTCTGCTTTTTGCAGATGATGTGGTCCTGTTGGCTTCATCAGAACGTGATCTCCGACTCTCACTGGAGCCAGAGCGGTTCGCAGCTGAGTGTGAAGCAGCTGAGATGAGAATCAGCTCCTCTAAATCCAAGACCATGGTCGGAAACAGGTAGAATGCCTTCTCCGGGTCAGGGATGAGGTCCTGTGAAGTGAAGGAGTTTTAGTATCTGTGGGTCTTGTTCACGAGTGAGGGAAAGATGGAACGTAAGATCCAAGGGCAGATTGGTGTTGCGTCTGCAGTGTTGCAGGCGTTGTACCGACCTGTCGTGATGAAGAGATAGCTGAGCTAGAAGGCAAAGCTCTTGATTTACTGGTAACCTACCCTTCACCTATGGTCAGGAGCTTTGGGTAGTGACTAAAAGAATGAGATTGTGGATACAAGCAGCCAACATGATTTTTCCCTGCAGAGTGGCTGAGCTCTCCCTTAGAGACAGAGTGAGAAGCTTGGTTATCCGGGAGGGGTTCAGAGTAGATCCGCTGCTCCTCCTTATCGCAAGGAGCCAATTGAGGTGGCTCAGGCATCTAGTTAAAATGCCTCCTGGGTGAGGCTTTCCAGACACGTCAAACTGGGAGGAGACCTAAAGGAAGACCCAGGACATACCAGAGAGACCATATGTCCTACAGCTAGCCAGGAAATGCCTTAGGATTCCCCAGAGGAGCTGGCCCAAGTGGCTAGAGAGAGATAAGTCTGTGCCTTCTTGCTTAGGCTACCGCCCTCGCGACCCAACTAACCCAAATTCTTGCCTGCAAAGTTTGTTTTATATTTATTTAGTCGGATCTGCCATGATTTCATATCGTTGTTGTATTGATATATATAAACTCCAGCGAATACATTACATGAGCGCCGCTGGTGTAGTGGTATCATGCAAGATTCCCATTCTTGCGACCCGGGTTCGATTCCCGGGCGGCGCACGTTCTTTTACAGGTAGGATTTTGTATCAACATGCATTTTAATTCTTACGTCACAAAACGTTTTATTAGATTACACAAAACACGCTTTACTAATTTGTTCTTAAATGCATTGTAACCTGTCAGTTGTTTGTACTACAAGTGTTTACATGGTCAACATAACCTGGCAAATGAAAACTATTACAAATCGAATATCCATAAATGTGTATGCGTACTTTAGTACTATTAGATGTGGAGAGGAAAAAAAAACAACGCTTGATTTTGGCTGGGTTTCAGTGAGCTGCTGCCAGGTCGCTGTTGCTGACGCCGCTCCTCCGCCATCTTCAACTTCCTATTGTTTGCATCAGACTGAGAGAGGCTGGCTGTGGTGCGAGACTCGAATCCGACACGGATTTATTGATCTGTAAATACAGCCCTCGTTCAGGTTCATTCAAAACCTTTTGTATGTCATTGGACTAAAACCCTCTCAGGACTCGACCACCAAATCTTCATGATGGACGACGACCAACCCAAAACCTTGTAAGAGCGGCCCTGTCTATGTCCAGGAATGCGTAGGCTCCGTCTAGTTACTATTCGTTTGAAATGTTTCCACGTTGTTGTTTCAAATGATAGCTGTAACGTCTTCCATAATGCCTTTGTGTTCTTTACTTCGAAATGTCATTAAATGTGGTCAATCGCGAGATTTCTGAGCGCCATTATTTGCATTTATATCAACAGTAGCTTGTTTGGTACAGCTTTATAAATAGAAGCGTAACTCGCTACATTTTAAACTCCGTGGCTAACTAGCTAGCACCGCTAAAAGTAAATAGCACGTCGCTTGATTTCATTTTCCCAGAGTTACACTTACATTCAGTAAATTCGTGGTATTTATCAGCGTTGGGCAGAAATTGTCAATCATTATCTAGACTGAAATACATTCGGTGTAAAATGTAAGTAACATTTGCTGCCAGCACTTATTTTGAGGCCCGTCTGTTAGCTACTAGTCTTTAGCTGGCAGCGTAGCCACGTCAACGCTCGGTCAGGCTACACGGGACACCTTCCTTGGGGGGTGGTGACCGTCATCCACTATATTGTCTAAAGCATGTACCGTCGTCCGCATTTTTAGTCATTTATTTTGTAGTTCATTTGTTAAAATAAGATATAACCATGGCTCTTGCTAGCCCGGTGTACGGCTAGCCTTTGTTTGCATGCTACTTCCTGTTTAACATAAACTGTCGGTTTTTGCTTACAGATATGTGGGAAATCTGTCCAGGGATGTGACCGAGCCTCTCATTCTACAGGTCTTCACACAGATAGGACCATGTAAAAGCTGTAAAATGATAAATGATGTAAGTTGTGGTCATTACATATAGATTCATAAATGAGACCGGAACAGGCACCCGCCACCAGCTGAAACGTTGTAGTGCACATTCTTTCCCTTTGTACAAGGCCGGGTACACCCATCACTAGTTTTAGTTTGTGTCTTGAGCAGTGATTGAACAGTTTACTTAATATCAGTTTGTTTGGCGTTGACAGACCGCTGGGAACGACCCCTATTGCTTTGTGGAGTTCTACGACCACAGGCATGCTGCTGCCTCATTGGCTGCCATGAATGGAAGGAAAATATTGGGTAAGGTAAGCTATCGTATCTACAGGGTGAGTGGGGATGGGTGGGCTGTGGGGAAGGGAAATGTAGGTTGTGCTTCTGAAAACCAAAGGAGAAACTAAACTTAGATTACCACCATCTAAAAAACTAGTTTACTCTTTAAACTGGTCTAGACCAGTATTTGATTGCATGGGGTGCCACTATTGACAGTTATTTATACAGATTATTATATCAAGTAGGGGGGTTGGTTGTTTTAATAATAATAATAATAATAATATAGCTAAATTAGATATTTATTTTTTCTTCAATTAATTTAAATGTCACCTTTGGGAGTTATTGTATAGCGCAAAAATGTAAGAAAAACTTGCATATTCAAATAAAAATAATATTTAATTCAAAGTACCGGTTCAAGGCACCCAAAGCTCTTTACATTAGTCACATTCAGTCACAGCTGTCCTGTCTGACAGACGAGGCTGCCGTTTTTGCGCCATCGGCCCCTCTGACCACAGCCAACACAGGTAAGTTAGGTGTAAGTTACGCAATAAAACATGCTTAAAAATGAAGAGGTGAAATCAGTTCATTGGGCTCCATAAACCCCACATAATCACATGCTGGCACAGCATTAACCAATCAAATATGGGTCCAAATTCAGGTCAAAGAGATTCCTGGATCACAAGTAGGAACATAGCAGGCTTCTCCTCATCCTCCTTCCACCATTGTAGTTTAGAAACTGTAGCTTTGATGGAGCCAAACAGGAAATAATTAATCTGACTGTCACATGCAGCACATTCTAGTGGTGAGTAGAAAAACTATTTAACTCATTCACTGCTATTGACGACTAAAGTCGTCATTTTAAATCCAACCGTTCACTGCCAATGATGATTAAAGTCGTCATTTGCATTTTTATTTTTTTTTTACTGTGTGGGCATCGGAACGAGCCCCCACACTGTGAAAACAAACATCCCAGCTCTAAAGCTGATCATCCGCATACGTCACACGTCACGTGATCAGGATGCAGAAAATCCATGTGTTAGGAGATAGTTTTGAGCCGCTGCTGTAAAAAAAAGTGAGGCGCGAACCGGAAAAGCTTCTGCCGATCACAATATGACATCGAATTATGAAAGAACGGATAACGCTTGAAACGCGTGGATTCTTCCTGATGTAAGAGGTGAGTCTCCGCTTTGTTTTGGTTGTTTTGGCGTCGCCATCATCCTAGCGCGCAACGTTCTGTGACTTAAAAAACAGTAAAAACTGTGAGAAACACTGGCAGCGAATGAGTTAAGAACCTAAATATAATTATAAAGAAGTTCAAACACAACACAGAAGAGCTTGATAAATATAAAACAAATAAAATGTTCAACGATAACAATCCTGTTGGATGGACTGATCCTTTCAGTGTAACCCAAGGTGACTGAAATGTTTCTACTTCTGCCTTTTCAGATATTTTGTTAACAGTTAAAGATAACAGAGACTAGGTTGTAAGCTTTAAGGCATCCCATGAGATTTCATATACATGTTCTCCAAAATTACTGTGCATACTTTGAGAATATTAGGTCTGCAATTCTATCAGCAAGTTCTTATAGTAGTTTTTTCCTAATGAAGTAAACATACCCCACCTGTACTGTTTTTCTGCTGCTGTCTACAGGAGGTCAAAGTCAACTGGGCCACAACGCCATCCAGCCAGAAAAAAGACACGAGTAGTGAGTGGTGCTAACACACACGCTGGTGGAATGAGATTAGCCGTCGTGGCTGATTTCATCATTTATTTTTGTATTCATGATTTTCTTTAGAGAAAAAAGAACGGCAACGTAAACTGAATATGTATTCCAACTTATTGTCTCTGTAGATCACTTCCACGTCTTCGTTGGTGATCTCAGCCCAGAAATAACCACAGAAGATGTCAAAGCTGCCTTTGCTCCATTTGGGAGGATATCGTAAGTGTCAAACCAACAACTGGTTTTACAAAAGTCTGAAAAAGCTATTTATTAACCACAGATCAGCCTTTATCTTTCTAAATCAGAACAATAGATAAAGTGACAATAATAAACAACGGGGAATTAAAATATTAGCATAGAAAACAAACAACTGTGGTACAGTTTGTTCTGTCGTGAGATGCTATCAGATACACACAAGGGGTGTTTGTATCTCATTTTCATTTTAGTTTAGACCATAAGCTGTTATCTGTTTCCACCTTGTTTTGTGTTGCTTTTTTCTGACATGATAAAGGATATTTCCCCCCCACAGAGATGCTCGTGTGGTGAAAGATATGGCTACAGGGAAATCCAAAGGCTATGGCTTTGTGTCTTTCTTCAACAAATGGGTAAGGCGCCTTCATCCTGTCACTGCTGCTGAGAACGATCAGGATGTGACTGTTGCTCTGCAGATGAAACGCGCTCCAATGTCTGTCATGTGACATAAAGCATGTTGTTAGGCTCCGTTTCTGATCATTAAAAATGTTTTTTTTCTTCATATCAGGATGCAGAGAACGCCATCCAGCACATGGGGGGACAGTGGTTAGGTGGCAGACAGATTCGAACCAACTGGGCCACGAGAAAGCCTCCTGCTCCAAAGACTACATATGAAAGTGAGATCAAGCTATTTTGTGGTTAATTATTAGTCCATAGAAAGGATACAGAATTGGGTGGAAAAAATTGATTTATCTTTATAAAACAACAAATGACTTTAAATTTATCCTGAGATAGAGATTTTCAAACAGAATGACAATGGTTTAGTTTTCTATTAAATAAGTTCCTCTACACCAGAATTAGTTTTTTCTTGGACAATAAACACCGTAACGTCACACAAAAAGTGTGATTTGAACATCCCTAGTTCGTGTTTGTTTTTGACTGTGTGTGTGTTTCGGTGATGAGCTAACTCTAAAACTCTCAAACAGCAGGTAACTCCAAACACCTATCCTTTGATGAAGTGATGAGCCAGTCCAGTCCCAGCAACTGTACTGTCTATTGTGGTGGAGTCAGCACTGGGCTCACAGGTAAACACCAACAGCGTAGAACTTGATTCAAGATACTTTCTTATCTTTCTACTCCTCTGTTGCCTTTTTCAGTCATGGTTAGGGCTGCACGATAAACCTGCGATATGCGATAACGGTGATTAATATTGCAGTGGCGATATTACTTGTGAGTGTGTGTGTGTGTGTGTGTGGGGGGGGGGGGGTTGTGGGACATCTAACCAATGAGAACCCACCCAATTGGCTAAATGGGTGAAGAGCTCCATTTGATTTGTTAAAAAAAATAATACTTCTGTTTGACAGAATGCATTATGTGTAGCAAACATTTCAGCTGACCATTCATTACGATATTTATCTGTTCCTTGCGATATGCATATTGCGCATGCTGATAATGCGATAACGATATGTTTGTGATGTATTGTGCAGCCCTAGTCATGGTTAACACTGATGGATTCATAAATCTTATCATTCAAACAGCAGATCTTTGGTCGAGCCCCAGCGCAAATGTTTCAGCGAGCTGTTACGAAACGGTGCATATAAATGTGGAGAGGGGAACTGCTCATTAAATGCAGTGCTACCTGTGCAATGGAAGCACATCCTCTCCCCCAGGTTGATGCTGATGCCTACCTGTTTTTACATGATTGAGAAGTTAAAATTTGTTGACAACAAAAACTAGAGAGCGATCTTTTTGCCTTTAATAGAGACGGCTGCGTCTACTTCGAGAGGGTCAGACATCAGCTGCTCGATCACAAACTTTGTTTACAAAACATCTCAGAGATCACGAACTAATAAACAAAATAAAAAAATAAACGTTTTGGCAGCATCTTGTGAAAGTATTCAGCACCTGAGCTAAATGTAACACCCGTGTTCAGATTAGTGTCACTTAACATGGAAACACCATTAATTTTATAAAGCACCTCGTCGTTCGTGGCATCTGTTTGTGAGCTGAAACATGGGCAGTGATTGGCTGCGAAAGCAGACTTGACCTATTTTGGCAAGCCATTTTAACATTTATTCACCAACCACACCCTTCTTGTAATTCCTATTTTACATATATATAATTAATCCTAGTCCAGATCGTATACTAGAGTCAGAAATCTAGCAGGAGCAGGATTTAAAAAATAAGATTCAAAGAGCTGCAAAAGCAGGAACAAAACTTGATCTTTAGACGCATTTAAAAATGTAACATGTTTATGTTTACTTTTCGATCTCTATGGAACTAAACCCTGATCTGGTTAGGAGGATGCTAATTCTAACCTCATGTTAATACTACACACCAGAGCAGCACTATATTTTAAATCTTGCTCCTTCAGAAATTTTGACCATCATTCGTTCTCGCTGTCCATATCTTGCTGCTGCCCATAGCAATGGCCAAAGGAGGTTTTCCAGCCTATTGCTTCACCAGGTCAGGAACTTCATTAGTCCGATACAGCGACATCTGCTGGTGAAGTTGAAATATGACAGCCTCATCATATACAATATGTCAAACTTATAAAATGAATAACTGGATTGTAATTTTTATGACCCTGCCATCCTTCTGAATGCAATTGTGGTTTATGCTTGTGTTCACATAAGCTACTGATTCATTCAAGGAAATAATTTGTTCGGTTAAACAAATGACATGAGGTGGGGTGTCAGTCATCCATATTTTCCCCTTATGGTATGCATGGTTTAAAGACCTCATTTATATAATTTTCTATCCCATAATTTTCAGTGAAAATTAAAACTAAAACAACTCACAAAGCATCGTGAGTTTCAGCAGCTTTTGTTTTGACAAGTGACAGTAAACAAACCAGTCATGTGACCCAGGTAAGACTAGGCCTGGTTTGTCACCAGTCACATGGTTTTCTATGAAATTAAGCAAGCCTCAAATCAAGGCTTCAAGTGTCTCATCACTACCTGCCAAATCCTGCAATATCCACATCCAAAGTCACCCACTCTCGCCCATTTATTCAGCCCAAACCAGAAATGAAGGACTTGAACCCTAAATCCAACCCACCCAGCCAAGAGAGAGTTTCTTCTCTTATGGAGGGTATGCCAGCTGACAGCTGGGGCAAGATATCAGATGTTGACCCCCACTTGCCTGCACACATTTTCTCACTTCTCTCTGCAACGAACAGCTGACAGGACCTCTGAATCTGCTGCTGTCTCTGAGGACTTGTTTATAAAACTTTCATCTGAGTTGGTCATAATTCAGGATTGCTGATTGATCTTTGACCCATCCTGCTCAGATGGGTCCTTCCTGCTCCAGTTTGCCTCCCTCTTCCGTCTGCTGCAACCTCCAAACCACCTGCTAACGAAAGATTTGCGTTGGGTTCTGCAGGATCCCATTCCCACTGCAGGGCTCTACTACACAGTCAGCTGTTTAGCAGGCTTTGGTTCCGAAGGCATTATTCTGTTGCCAGGGTTATTTAGTTTTTAAAAACTTAAAGCATTTGAGGTGAATTGTAACCTTCTCTCTGACGACCTTCTGGGTCAAGTAGTCCCTATTTTGGGTTCTGCGGTAGCTGGAACTAAATCATGTTGAGCTTATAGATTTTTAAAATTCTACCATGAGACTTTGTTCCCAGGAATTTTTCACATTTACTTATCAACCAGGTTCTCCTCCTGTTCTGTTTGACTTTCAGAGCAATTAATGAGACAGACCTTCTCCCCCTTTGGACAAATCATGGAGGTCAGAGTTTTTCCAGACAAAGGCTATTCATTTGTGAGGTAAGTGGGAGTGATTTCTTGTTCTGCTTCTCCTTCAAATTCGTAGCCTGATGCTGGAAGTAGACATGGTCAGTAGCTTTCTACCACTTTAGTAAACAGACACAAGAACAGCTTTGTCAGGTTTCTGCTTCATCTCATGGCTGTAAACCTCTCTATTTATACGTTTGTGTATAATATGTATATATATTCTGTTTGATTTCAGGTTTAATTCCCACGAGTCAGCAGCCCATGCCATTGTGTCAGTGAATGGCTCTTCATTAGAGGGCCACATAGTGAAGTGCTACTGGGGTAAAGAGACACCAGACATGATGAACTCAATGCAGCAGATGTCTGTTCCACAGGTAAGGATGCTGTGTAATGACATTATCATCTCCAGTGGTGACTGATGTGTTTTACGCCTAGTTTATACTTTGCCGTCTGCTGAGGTACGGAGACACGAAGCACCATTATCCATCTAAGCTCTTCGACACGTACGCAAAGGACTAAGTAGAGCGCAGATTTTTAACTATCCATCGTACGAAACAGAGACCTCACGTTTGTGATTGAGGTTTTTTTTCTCACGTCGTAGCTTTTTCATACTTCCAAATTAATTCAGCACACATTAGTTCAAGTTACCAATAGGCTTGGCGGTATTACGGTATTACTATTTACAGCCAGTGTTAAAAAGTAGCAACGGTCAGTGCCAATAACAGCATGAAAAACACAAGGATTAATTCAATTCAAGTTTATTTATATTGCACCAAATCACATCAAGAGTTGTCTCAAGGCACTTAACACAATAAACATTCCAATACAGGTCAGTTCATTAAGCCAATGAATAAAAAGTTTCCTATATAAGGAACCCAGCAGATTGCATTGAGTCACTGACTAGTGTCAGTGACTTTACAGTAATCCTCATACTAAGCAAGCATGCAGTGACAGTGGAAAGGAAAACTCCCTTTTAACAGGAAGAAACCTCCAGAAGAACCTGGATCAGTATAAGCAGCCATCCTCCACAACTCACTGGGGATCGAGAACACAGAGCAGAGACACACACACACACCTACACACACACATCTACACAACATATCTACCAAGTAATGTTTCTATGGTTACGTTGTGATTTCTTAGTAAATATTCTATTTAGTGAGAGACAAACTTTATTGTATTTATCCTAGTGAGTCTATAATTAAACGGGTAAACTAGTAGTAGCACATTCAATGTCAAAGAAAGTAAAAAGTTATTATCAGGAGAGGGAGAATGTTTTAAGTGGTTAGCAACAGTGTGCTAGCCGATGGTCCCCTCTATGAGGTCACCACAGCTCAGCAGAACATCATTGTAGCTTTTTCCGAGGAGAAAAACGCTGCGGAACAGCAACAGCTGAAGTAGCAGGAAATAATACAGTTAAAGAGCAGATTGTAGAAGAAATTAGTAGTGTGTGGAAAGTGGTCAGTATGTCCTCCAGCAGTCTAAGCCTATAGCAGCATAACTACAGAGATTACTTTGCCTTTTAGATGGAGGCATGTTGGAGGCAGGGCAAGGGAGAGCCGTCTTTACCGACTACACTCCACCTCCCTCTACTTCCCCACTTGTCCAGATCTAGGCTAACATCAGATTTTTAACCATAGGCCCTATCAAACAAAAATGTTTTAAGCCTAGTATTAAAAGTAGACAATGTGTCTGCCTCACGAACCAAAGCTGGGAGTTGGTTCCACAAGAGAGGAGCTTAATAGCTAAAAGATCTGCCTCCCAACCTATTTTTAGATATTCTGGTGTCCTTAAAATCTATTCTGAATTTAACAGGCAGCCAATGTAGGGAAGCTAAGACAGGAGAGATATGATCTCTCTTTTTAATTCTCATCAGAACTCTAGCTGCAGCATTTTGGACAAAACTAAATAAAAAAGATGGTAATTTAATGCAAAAAACAGATGCATGGTTGAATTTTCAGTTTTACACAAATAGTTAAAAATGTTTTGTCCAATTTTTAGAGATGTTCTGTAAAGTTTATGAATGTGATAAAAAAAAAGTGACAGCTCGCGCACCAACTGACTTGGTAGCCCAATCCCAACACTCGCCCTGCGGTCTTCAGCAAAGGGCACAGAAAGTGCGCAGTAAGGCTTCAAGTGCGTTTTACACAAGTGTGCAAATATTGCCGAATTGAGACGGGGAGCGTTGCGTCATAGATCGCAAGCATGCCCAAATGCATGGTCAGCATCAATCCACACTTGGGTGAAGTGCAGATCAAGGGTGCAAAAGGGGTGTTTGATCAACTTCCGCACTAATCGGGACATCCTTCGCACTCATCCCTGGTCTGGATTGTGCAACTGAAGGGCACAAGTGTGGAAGTGCGAGTATTGGAATGGTGCCTATGTCTCAAAAGAACACAACTTCAACAGTTTGGGAGAATTTCGGGTGTGAAGCTGAATGAAAAGGAAAGCCGATTAACACAGATGAGGTAATTTTTACAAACAAAAGATGACAGCGAAAGATGCACATCCGTTGGCACAGGAGGGAGCAGAAGCTGAAATAGCAGATTTCTGTTTGAAACCGGTTATTAAAAGAGACACCAACACACTTTTCTGGTAGAAAATAAGCTAGCAGCCGTCCCCAGATATCGCGACTAGCCCCAAGCTAATCAAAGCAGGTTTTCAGCAGTCGGCCCATAACGTCCAATGTTGACGCCAGAAAAGGTGAACATGCTGGTTTTTCGAGCGAAACATCTTTTTATAAGCTGCAAAATGTTAATATTATGTGTGTTATGTTGTTTTTAGTAATACTGTTTGTTTTTCCATTTCTGAACGATGAAGGTCCAAGCCAAAAGTTTGGTTATTCCACTTGGGGCTTGCGTTCTCCCATTATCTTTTTTTTACGTGTTTGTGAAGCAACTTGTGCTTGTGATTTTTCTCTAGAGAGGAGCTTTATAAAAACATGTTCTACTCCAAAAATGCATGGAGGAAATCTGTAGGTAGAAATAGCTTTTAAATGTATTAAATAACAAAAAGTGCACAGTTTTCCCTGCATTACCGCAGCAGGCCGGCTGCACGTTTTTATAAGCCATCTTGATAGTTTTTCCTCACTAAAACGTTTGTTCCGTGAGAGACGCATGCATTCTGACACCTTAGCTTGTTTGAACTAACGTGTGCCGTCAGAAACATTCAAACCATTTTTAAGAGAAGTTGAGCTTTCAAGTCAACTAAAATGCACGACTGCACTTGCGCTGATGAAGCATAAACCAAGCTTTAGAAATCAGCCTGAAACTGCTCATATGTGGGAGGAGTCTCTCTCTCTGTGCTGGGCTCACCTACAGTGCCATTATTATCTAAGTTGTGTGTGGGAACCGTATGTCGATGTTGGGAACATAAAACAGTAAAATAACCAGAACATGCAGCTCTGTCAGCTGTGGAGTTGGGCTCTGCTCTGGACGGTACACCCCACCCCCCTCCTCCCCCGCGCTGGCTTTTGTCGCCACCATAGCACAGGGGGAAAACCCCGGATGTAAAAAAATAAATAAAAAAGTTACACAACTGATCCTGGATCAGTCAAAACTGCTAAAACTGCAGCTTTGATGGTCACATGATCGTGCTGTTTGAAATAGCTATTTCGGTCCAAAAACGATAGATCTTTCAGCCCTACTTTGATGTGAGGCTTATTGTGTTTCAAGAATTTGTTTGGCTGTGTGACCAGCTCATTTCTTCTTCTGCAGTATCCCAGTAGACATATCTTGATAGCTGAGCAATTGCGCCCTCTATTGGCACAAAATAATTTACATCCAAGCGCAGCAGATTGACTTGAAGCAGTTAACCGGGCAAAACTATTTTACCCGGTTACAATATTAACGGCAATTAACCGGTTAACTATATACATCCCTCGGTACACCCCCCACATTACTGCAGGTGCAGCACCAATCCGCCTATCGATCTCCATCATTCCCTCACTCGTGAACAAGACCCCGCTTGGAGCAGGGCCTCATCCCTGACCTGCAGAAGGCATTCTACCCTTTTACTACTCAAGACCACGCTCTCGTATTTAGAGGATCTGATTCTCATCCCAGCTGCTTCACACTGCTACGAACCGCTTCAGCAAAAGCCACAGGTCACATTCTGATGACCTGGCCTGGCAGGGGGCCAAGCAAGGCCTAGCAGCCTGCCAGGCTTTAAAAGTGCTGCGGAAACCTGAAACATGGAACTTACTTCTCGACTCATAAAACGCATACTGGATATAAAGAAAGATGCGTCTCTGTCATATTTCAACAGATTGCAGTGTAGGAGCACATAGAGCAAGCAGCAAATGCTAGCACCAGCTCCAACGAAGATGCGTTCGGGGACGCTCCAAAATATGGCAGCTTATTTAAAGTTTTCCGACAGGATTGATTCTGGACTTTTATGAATCGATTCCGAATCTTTATAAGTTGGAATCGCGATTCGGATGTGAATCAATCTTTTTCGGGCATCTCTAATTACTACCAAGCGTGGCGGCACCAATGTTGCAAAATTCTCATCACCATGCCGCTATACCTTTGATAAGTGGTGGCAGTATTGCGCTGATTTACCGGCACGGTGTGTCTTCTGAAAGTGGCTGGTGTGTATAACTTGTATATCTGATTTTCTGTTCCGCAGCAGAACAAGATTGGTTTTGCTGCAGCCCAGCCCTACGGCCAGTGGGGTCAGTGGTACGGCAACGGGCCTCAGATCAGCCAGTATGTTCCAAATGGGTGGCAGGTCCCCACCTATGGTGTCTACAGCCAGGCCTGGAACCAGCAGGGCTTTAAGTAAGTAGCACGGTGTGCACAGGGCTCCACTTCTCCACCTTGTCCTACTACAGCACCACCAGATTCACCCTTTCAAGACTGGGGCGAGAAGAACCAGTCGCAGGAGGGAGCGCTATCCTCCCCCACCCACCATCTTATTCTTTCCTGTGTTCGTCAGACACTCACCTTCCTCATCTGGACAGCACATCTTATTGTTTCAAGGAATTTGTCACACTTTTTTTTGTTAATTTTTGATTTCTTTGGCTTTCCCCTTCTAACAGACCTAAAGAGTTACAATTTTGAACATTTCTAAAACAGAATGCCAGCTGAACTTTGGAGTCATACTATAAACATGTTGGAGATGTTTTTAATTTCTCTTCACACTGAAGAGTAATTCACCCATGAAGATGCTTGCTCTATGTAAAATCACCCAGTGTGAGTAAAACTCAGTGTTCTGTTTATGTTCATTCTTGTCTTAGCGTTTTGTTCTCTTTTTTTAATTTGATGATCATTTGATCTGTACATAAATCACGAGGGTATGTTAGGTATCACTTTTCACAGAAGAATTGAAAATCTCACAGTGGACAGTTTGATCACAAAGCTGTAAGTTGAGGATGTCTGTTGTACGGAGTTGTGAGGACCTTACATATCCTGAATAAGAAACTTTAAAGTTCGTCCCATTTTCAGAAATTTTGATTTTGAAAGCAGCATTTAAATGTAAATATTTTAAATCAGCTTACACTGCTTTCCCCCCCTTTTTGCTTTCAAGGAGCCAGACTAGAGCTTTAGATGGGCCCGACTCAGCAGGTTTCCATCAGTCGTTTTCAGTGGTTTTCGTAGGACTTTGGAAACTTTTTCCTTTTTTGGTTCAGTTTGGCTGTTAGTTGGTTTATTGTTGCTTAAGGATCTCTATGCTGCCTGGGTGATCAGTGGTCCGATCAGCCAGTATGGGTCTCAATAACCAAAGCTGATTTTTGGATGTTAGTGTTTCTTTGTTTTTGTTTACAAGTTTGTTCATGACAAATAACCATGTATCAGTCTAAATAAAAGTGGAAAGAGTTTTGGTGAAACAGAATGGTAGTCGATGGTCTATAGAAAAAAAAAAACTGCATAGAATCCCAAACCTGTAGATCACCTTCTAGGTTTTAAAATGAACGTATAACTATCTCCTCGAGTGGATACGACATTAAAAGTTATCTCAATATTTATTTTTGGTCATCTAGCATTCACCTTTTTCACTCGCAGCCCATACCTGATCATTGCTGCTGATTTAAAACCTAATCCTCTAAAAGTGACCAAAGGCTGGACTGAAAATGAAAAAAATCCGTTCAAGTCCAAAGAAAAAGCCTGTCTGATTAGAATAATCCTGAAGATTACTAAAAGCTCTGCCCCCTTAAAAGCAAAGCATTAGCACATACTCTAGAATTTTACAGGGTGTTGAAGGTGAGATTAAATCACCTCGCTGTTGTGTGGTCAAATAGGAGAGAGATTACAGACCTGAAGATGTCTATGTTGGACGGCTTCTTTGTAGTTGGGCAGGAACTGATTCATGCCAAGTGGTTGGGAGGGTAGAAAGAAAGGAATACTTAGCTTTTTGTGCTTTAGCCTGTTTGCTCTCATCTGCTTGTCCTCCAGTTTAATCAGATATAAAACTGGTTCCTTCCAAAGGCTCTCCTTCCTCTATATTCCCCTTTCCCCTTTTGATTTGCTGTCTTAATTTTTACTCACCCTCACAATCTCCTTAATCCAGCCAGTTCAGATTCTGGTAACTAATACAAAGTGTCCTTTGGCTCCCTTTCGCCTCGCCTCTTCTAACCTGCTGGCATTTTGTCTTTCTCTCTCTCTTTGCTTCATCTTTTGCAGTCACTTACCGGCCAGTGCTGGGTGGACTGGCATGAGCGCCATCAGTAACGGTGGGGTTATGGAGCCTACACAGGGACTGAATGGGAGTATGCTAGCCAACCAGCCTGGTATGGGAGCCGCAGGATACCCCACACACTAATAAGTGGGCAGGGTGGGAAATATGGTCGTTGGCTACATGGTGCATTGTGGGGGCTGTGTACCACCACCTCAATCTGTGGCAGGACTAAGACTTTACCAGATGATGCGCCTGATGAAAAGGTTGACATCTCTGACATGTAAATGAGAATTTTCATGTGGGCTTGAGGTAACAGGAATCAGGGAGCAGTGATTTGACCCACACAGGTACCTCCGCCCTTCTGTGGCAGGAGGACTGGCCGTGATCCAGGGCTCTCGCCATTTTTAAGTTAACTGTAAATGAGTATAAAACTGTAAATGAGAAACTTTTGGATTTTTCTCTCTCCTGGGTTTTACAAATTCTTCCATTTTTACATCTGTCCTCTCTGACAGTTGCTGAGAGGTTGGTCTATCCCCATCCCCCCCCCCCCCCCCCCCCCCCCCAGAAAGAGTCTCACCAAGTTACTAACTCTTTGAGAAATGGAAATCATATTTTTTCGTCTTTTTTTAAATTAAGAATAATTGCAGGGATTGTTGCCACTGCTGTTTTTCTGTAAGGGCAGATAAATATTGCACAGTTTTTCCTCCCTTCTTCTTGATGGACAAATTTGGCTACCAGGAGCGTTTCCTTTATTGCATTCCATTTCTCCATATCTTTTAGTCACATGTAAATAACCATCCATCCATTTATTCATTCATTCAAAACGATGTAAGTAAAATGCTACTGATAACTGTGGGTGCTTGCTTTCGAGTTTTGTTTTCATGATTTGACCGTTAACTCCAACATTGTGTGTAGCAGAGTGGCGCTATCGAACCGGTACAGTTAACACACGATTCTTCCATGCGGGGATCAGGCAGCATTGCCATGCAGTGCATATTTAAATTCAACACGGTTCAAACGCAAATGGGTGGATTTGTGTGGTTGAAGCGGATGTTTTTTTTTTTTTTTTTTTTTTTTTATTAACGCCAGTAGTTTTATATGGAGAATCTGGGTGGAATCGACCTTCACACTTTAGCCAGTGAACTAAGGAGGCCTACGTTGCTACTGTTGCCTTATAGAACTGGTTTCTTTTAGCTGACGAGATACTTTTTGATTAGGCAGTGCCTACAGACATTTTCAAGCCCTTTTTGTTTAGAAAAGTGTTAGCCCTGAGAACTGATGACTCTGCTACTGTAATCAATGTTTTCTTGCTTTGTCCAATTAAAATGCTAATGCAAAGAAACTGGTGTTTCTGGTTTTTCTGGGAGACGATTGAAATCTAAACGCGTAAAGTAAACATTTTGTCAATAATTTATATTTTTACAAATCTTAGGGGTGGAATATCCCTTAAATATCAACTTTACTCATGCTTTGAATACATTTGCAGAGGTCTCCAGTAGGAATGAATACCTTTTAAGTTCTTACTAGAAGTGAGCCACATCAGTCTCATTTCCTGACATTTGGACATCTATCCTCTGACTGGTTAACAGCAAGATGACTACCACCGACTGTTCTGCAACGTTGATGTTTTATCTCTACACATAACACAAGCCTGAGGAGTTCTGCTGTGTGGTGGAGCTGCTAATGCTAACCATTATCTTCTGCTAGCCAAGACGTTCTCTGCTGTTTCCTGGACGCTGATCCAACAACAGCCTTCCCGTCGTGAGTCAAGATGGAGTCCATGAATGTTAAGTGACAGTGTGATGTAGATCTGTCAGGATTTTCTAATCCTAGAGTTTCATCATCTATTTTCTGTCAAGCTGAAGTAGGAGATAGGTGTAGGAGACTATTTTCATGTTCAGCCTGCATGAAGAACTCAGTGACTGATTATAATCAAACAATAATTAATAAATTAACTACCTTTATTTAATGCTAAGGTTTTTATGTAATAAACACTTAAAATTTTAGTTGAATTAAGATTATGCTGTAATTTTTGAAATCCTTTTGACTTGGAAGTCAGTGGATGTTTTCTAACTTAAAATGCTTACTTCCCTTAAAGCTGCAGCTTGTCCACATCAACTTCCTGTTTTGTGGAGAAAAACAACCTGAGTTTTTCAGCATCTTTATATAACATTAAGAGCTCATGTTTCTTTGTCTGAAAATAGGTTTTATGGTGATAAATCTCAAATTGAGTTCAAACTTTTAAAAAATTGAAGCAGGTTTTTAAATTTTCATTAATCAAAACTTCATTTATTCAATTTTATTATTTGCTTTTCTAGAACAATACCAAATACAAAAGTCAATGTTTTGAGTCCAGTTGTCCAAAGTTAGGTGGTGAACTGCCAAAGGTTGAAAATAGGTAAGGTTGCTCAAAATGGAAAAATAATGAATATTTCTGAATTATACAAAAAAAAAAAACTTTTTCAGGGAACACAGCTGGTCTGCAGTAATGGAGGTTGATCAAGCCTTGAAAGCTGGTGCTACTAATTCCCACAGGTGTTCCAACTTTTCTGGATCACCTGCAACCCCTCTGTTTGCATAAAGCAGTGTTGGAACATAATGCGGCACCACACCCTCGTGAGCATCAGTTGAACAGTACTGTACTGCAGATAATAGTGTGTGGCTACAAAAATGGCGAGAAAAAGCCAATTAACAATGGAAGAGAGACAGTCCATCATGACACTTGAAAATGTAGGTCTTTCCTACAGAGAAATTGCAAAGAAAGTCCAGGTGTCCGTGAGCAGTTTCCTTCACCATCAAAAGGCTCTCAGAAACTGGGCCAAACTGACAGGAAGAGGTCCGGCAGACCCAAAGCCACAACTGCATCAGAGGTCAAGTTTCTGAGAGTTAACAGCTTGCGTGAAAGGTGGCTCACAGGACAACAGCATCAAACATATGTTACGAATCATAAGGGTCAATTTTCACCATCGAATTGACACAGCATAACCTTTCATACACGCGAGAGCTGCAAAGTCAAGGTTGCACCAGCAAGAGGATCCAGACGCACAAATCAACCTTTTGCCTTATTCTTCAACGCAGACATAAATAAACTCTCAGGGTCTCCCGCAAAAGCCGTTTTCTCTCTGCGTAAAAGTCAGACTGCTGGATTCCTCACTGTGAATAAAAGTGAATCCACGAATCCTACAAGGCTTTACAACTTAAAAGTTAATTAATCATATGGTTGAATGAACAAGGTGTTTAAATGAAATGCTTGAATAATCTGTGCTTAAATCAATGAAGTCAAAATGAATATTGCTCTTACAATGATCCATTTCAGATCTTATGATCAGTATGTGTTTGCTTTAACAAGTTAATCATTATCTACAGTCATACACATCTTCATAAGTTACAAATTAAGGTTAAGATTCACCTCACATAAGTGTTTTAAGACATTCTCATTCACGGTGTGAAAAACATCTTTGTATCTAAAGGAAGGCGTGGCTTTCTGAGGGATGTTGGTAAATACTCAGAAACATGTCAGATTCTGATTGGCCAAACTTGGCCAGAAATCATAACAAAGTAGTTTGATAAAACAAGAATTACTTCCTGAGTATTTCAATTTCTAGCGGAGTTCCGAACCGGCCAATTTGGGACAATCATCCTTGAGACATCTCTTTTGATATACAGTCAAAAGCCTGTTTGCACGCAGCAAGCTTACACAGCCAGACGGCTCCCTGAGAGCCACATCCACTTTGGACGCAGACAAGTGTGGCAAGATGGAGAAACGAGGGCCCGGGCGGGATTCGATTCCGTCTCCCAGGTGAGAGTCATGCGCGCTAACCAGTCAGCCAAAGGGACATCCCTTTGGCCAAGTAACCAGGTCGCATGATCAATCGGAACACTGTGACAGGACGCTCACACTGCCACACAAGTATTCCAGCTACTGTTGTGACCTGGAGACATTCCAAGACTGGACGGGTCGCGTTGGAGTTTAATCTACGAAATCCCGGTGCTGTGAGGTTCACCTGATTTCTGATAGTCCGGATCTGCTGGGGGTCTCCGACAGGGTTTGTAGACACAACAGATTGCGTCTGATGCTGTTTTATTAAAACATCATCACCATCAGAAAAAAGGCCCAGCAGAGGATGTACTTCCTGAGGCAGTTGAAGAAATTCAACCTATCACCACAGTCAATGAGGCAATTCTACACCACTATCGAGTCCATCCTCACCTCCTCCATCACCGTGTGGTACGCTGGAGCTACCACCAGGGACAAGAAGAGGCTGCAGCGTGTCGTGCGCTCTGCAGAGAAGGTCATTGGCTGCAAACTCCCCTCCATTCAAGATCTGTACACGTCTAGGACATTGAGGCGTGCAGGTCGGATAATAGCTGACTCGTCTCACCCTGGACACAGTCTCTTCAACTCGCTCCCATCTGGCAGAAGGCTCAGATCCATTCGGACCAGAACCTCTCGCCACAAAAACAGTTTCTTCCCCTCTGCGGTTGGACTTTTGAATGAACATCCTAGGGCAGCCCACTCAAGTTGATTGGTCCCAGTCACGTGACCCGATGCTGTGCTTGAACCATTCAACAAATACTCAGATTAGTACCTACACGGAGTAAATAGCTGCTTCTCTAATTATTGCCACTTTTTACATTAATAATTTTATCATGAGTGTTTTATTAGTTCTTATTTATAAGAGCTTATCTCTTAATTAAATTTTTTTTCTATCTTACCTTCTGCACCAAAATACCGCAGCAATTTCCTAATGTTGTGACTTGGCACACTTATGGCAATAAAAACTTCTGATTCTGATTCTAATTTATAGCAGACAACAAATTCTTTTACACTCAGATTTCACAATTTCTTTCAGATACAAAGATTCTGATAAACATCTAGCTTACATCACACCACCTACACCTCACACTCATCACCGCATATCCACTCCATCACATCTCATTATTCATATCTTGTCATGTATAATCATTAGTTTAGAAAAGAATAAAATTTCTTTTTATCTATATACCTGACTCTGTCTGAATTAATACGAAGTGTGTTTGTGGTGTCTGAACAAGTAAAAGTAACTATAATCTTCTGATTAAACTTCAACGATCAATCAGATTGGTATTTCATATTCATATGGAATCATCACATCCTATTGGTCATAATTAATTTGCAGTCGTCACGCTATGAAGTGTGACTGCTACACACAGCTTGATAGTGGCCGTAGTAAGCAAGTCTCAGTTTCAACTGTGAAGAGAAGACGTTGAGCTGCAGGTTTGACAGGAGTTGCAACAAGAAAGCCAATGTTAAGATGTCAGAATAAGAGAAAGAGGCTTGCCTGGGCACTGAAACACTGCCATTGGATTACTGAAGACTGGAAGAAGGTATTATGGACTGATGGATCCAAATTTGAAATCTTCGGTTCATCACGCAGGATCTTTGTACGCCGTCGAGTAGGTGAAAGGATGGTTCCACAGTGTGCGGCATCAACTGTCAAACATGGAGGAGGAAGTGTGATGGTCTGGAGCTGTTTTGCTGGATCGAGGGTCCGTGACTTGTACAGAGTGAGAGGCACCCTTAACCAAAAGGGCTACAGCATTCTCCAGTGCCATGCAGTACCCTCTGGTATGCAACTAGTTGGTCAGGGGTTCATCCTACAGCAAGATAATGAGCCAAAACATAAGTCCAAGCTATGCCAGAACTACCTCAGGAAAAAACAACAAGATGGTGAGCTTGTAAACAACATGGAGTGGCCAGCACAGTCTCCAGCCTTAAACCCCATCAAGCTGGTTTGGGATGAACTGGATAGAAGAAAGCAACCTAAGTGCCACACATTTATGGGAACTTCTGCATCTGATATGGGAAGAACTTTCTGAAGAATATTTGATTTCTATTGTAGAAAGAATGCCACGAGTGTGTTCAGCTGTTATATCGGCAAAGGTGGCTGCTTTGATGGGTCAAAAGTTAGGATACATTTTGGGCTATAAATTTTTTCCATGATTTCTTTATAACTCAAATTGCTTATTTGTACTATGCTTTCATTTCAGGGTGCAGTGTGACATTAAACTGCACAATTCCATGTAAAAAAAAACAGGAAATTTTGAGGCGTTCTAAAACTTTTGACCAGTGTACATTTATGAATTCACTAGATTTTAAAATCCCTAATAGTTAAATTGTGAGTGTAAAGAAAGCAGCAGGTCCTAAGCAGCGGAGTACGAGGGCGACATTAGGAAGGAAACACCTGTTTGAACAGGAAGAAGCCTCTAGCTGAACCAGAACTAGGATGGATGCCTTCCGACCGGACCGACTCGGGTCTGAGAGGATTTATCACACACAAATCAGCTTTTGTTGATATTCTG